GATGATGCACCGGATCCAGTGGTGAGGATCCATACTCTTCATCCCGCTTATTCTAGGCTCTCCTGAAAGTAGTGTGATATCGAAAGCAATCCTGTGTCCTTTTGACATTTCTTCTCTTTGAACCTGTTTCTACTTATATTATTGCAATTATTGGAGAGGCAAAAAAAAAATGGCGCCCACCAATAGCAGTCCTTTAACCTTTCATAGCCATTAAGGAATGTGGTTGCTAAATCAATCTGTTTACTTGTTGCTGGTGACAGATAAACACTTGCAATGGCTTTTACTGTGATCAATTTACTCCCAACAGACCTTATAAGCCTTCAATGTGGACAGAGGCTTGGAGTGGCTGGTAAGCATTATTGTTGTGACCATCAAATATTTGTATTGTATTATTAAGAAAAAGCCTAATTCTTCTGTCAATTATAAAGGTTCACAGAATTTGGAGGTCCAATTCACAAACGACCTGTCCAAGATTTGGCATTTGCAGTTGCTCGATTCATAACAAAGGGAGGATCCTTCGTAAACTACTACATGGTTGGTTGCTTCTTAGAAACTGTTTCTAATTCTAAATTTGATAATTAATGATATGTACCCTGCTCAAGGTACTTGTAATGAATATTGTATGTTACTGCAGTATCATGGAGGAACAAATTTTGGACGTACGGCTGGAGGTCCTTTCATCACTACCAGCTACGATTATGATGCTCCACTGGATGAATATGGTGAGAGCCAAAAATTTTATGCGGTTTATATTTTACATTTCTTTTAAATTAGATGGAATGGGAGACAAGAAAGGAAAGAGAACTGAAGAGCATCAACACGGAACTTACAGAATTTTAGCAGATAATGCTGTGCGAATAAAGTTTAAGCTTGCTCCTAACAGTTCTTTCTGGTGGCATTCATACATGCAAAATAACAATTTAAAGCCCAAACATTCCCCATCTTTCACTAAAATGGTAGTGACTCATTAAAACTGTAATAATTATATTTTCTGGTGTTTATTCATCGCAACTGAACCCCACATAAGACATTACTGAGGGCATGATTGACTCCTGCAAAACAATGACAGGTCTGATTCGACAACCAAAATACGGTCATCTAAAGGAGCTTCATAGGGCAATTAAGATGTGCGAGCGTGCTTTAGTTTCAGTTGACCCAATTGTTACTCAAATAGGGAACTCCCAACAGGTTTTCACTTATTCTCAGTCTTGTGCTTGCACATTTTAGTTTTTCTAACTAAATGAAAGATGTTTACCAACGTTCCAGGCTCATATGTATACTACAGAATCCGGAGATTGTGCTGCTTTTCTCTCAAACTTCAATGAAAAATCATCTGTCAGAGTGATGTTCAATAATATGCACTATAACTTGCCTCCTTGGTCTGTCAGCATTCTTCCAGATTGTAGAAATGTTGTCTTCAATACAGCAAAGGTACAATTAGAAAAATGGTGTTAACAGATGTTAAAATCATCTCGTGTTATTGGCACTCAATGATTACACTCATGGTTTCAAGGAGAGAGACAACCTTTTCATATTCATCTCAATTCAATTGTGTTCCACATTTCAAGACCAGTGAATTCTTTAACTGCCGTTTTTTAGGTTGGAGTGCAAACATCACAGATGCAAATGTTGCCAACAAATACTCAGATGTTCTCGTGGGAGAGTTTTGATGAAGATCTAACCTCTATGGACGAAAGCTCTACATACACAGCGCCTGGTCTCTTGGAGCAGATAAATGTAACACGAGACGCAAGTGATTATCTCTGGTACATAACCAGGTAAGCCTGAATTGCTAAATGCGGTAAATTTGATTGTTCAGTGGTTTGTCAAGGTTCATATTGAAATTATTAAAGCCTATCATAGCTTAGTAATCCCAGAGGAAAGAACTGATCAATATTTTATTGTCATGCTTTTACTGATGGATGCCATGACCGGTTTTGATTCATCGTGGTTAACAATTGCCTCAGTAGTAATAATTTATTTCATGTCAATGTGCCTACAGTGTTGATATAGGCTCATCTGAATCCTTTCTGCGTGGAGGAGAACTTCCCACTCTCATTGTTCAGTCTACAGGCCATACAGTGCATGTTTTCATCAACGGTCAACTTTCTGGTATATACTTCATTTGCTTCTCTAGTTGATTTTTTCAGGTTATTGTTGAATAAAAACTTAACATATATCATTGAAACAGGTTCTGCCTATGGAACAAGGGAGGATAGAAGGTTCACATATACTGGCAAGGTTAATCTTCATGCCGGGACAAACAGAATAGCTCTGCTAAGTGTTGCTGTTGGACTTCCAGTAAGTTATCTTTGTCATCTTTATTTCCAACATGCTACCTAAATTAAATTTTAAAATTTGTTGCACAATGGTTATTACCTTTGTGAGTATCATTCTACATGGAGTCAAACCATTCTGACATTTGAAAACTACACTAAATCCTTACCCAGAAAAAGAAAAGAAAAAGCAAGAAAAAAGAATGATGAAAAAACATTTATTGCTTAAGCCTGTCGTCTGATGACTATCGTCACTCACTAATGCATTACTGGTGCTTGCTTTCAAAGAACATTGGAGGACATTTTGAGACATGGAACACGGGAATCTTAGGTCCAGTGGCTCTCCATGGACTTGATCAGGGAAAATGGGACTTATCCTGGCAGAAATGGACTTATCAGGTTGTTCATTCTTGCTTTAGATTCTTAATTGGTTCATCGTTAAATGAAAGTTTGCTGAGACTCATCTTTTAAGTAGGTTGGGCTAAAAGGAGAGGCCATGAATCTTGCATCTCCCAATGGCATCTCTTCCGCTGAGTGGATGCAGTCCGCTATTGTTGTGCAAAAAAACCAACCACTGACATGGCACAAGGTAAAAAAAGGGTGATGTGTAAAGGTTGACTCAACAGATAAATTGGCTTTTAAATTATAGTCTTGATGTTGTTCTATGAACTGCACAGACTTATTTTGATGCTCCTGAAGGAGACGAACCATTGGCACTTGATATGGAGGGCATGGGTAAAGGTCAGATATGGATTAACGGAGAGAGTATTGGTAGATACTGGACTGCTTTTGCTACTGGTAATTGCAATGACTGCAACTACGCAGGATCATTCAGGCCTACAAAATGCCAACTTGGTTGTGGCCAGCCAACCCAGCGATGGTGAGTAATAACAACATTGAAGCCTTTGTTAACAGTTATTGTATTTCTGGCAAAACTTCATTCTGTTCATAATATTTCAGGTACCATGTACCTCGATCTTGGTTGAAGCCAACTCAAAATCTTTTGGTTATTTTTGAGGAGCTTGGGGGTGATCCTTCTAGAATTTCACTAGTCAAGAGATCAGTGAGTAGCATCTGTGCTGATGTCTCGGAGTTCCACCCAAATATCAAGAATTGGCACATTGAGAGCTATGGGAAGTCAGAAGACTTCCGCCCACCAAAGGTTCACTTGCATTGTAGTCCTGGCCAAACCATATCTTCCATTAAATTTGCAAGCTTTGGAACTCCTCTGGGGACTTGTGGGAATTATGAGCAAGGGATCTGTCATGCTCCGGCATCGTACCCCATTCTGGAGAAGGTAAAATTTGTGCACACTCTTAATTTCACTCTTTGCTTCATAAATTCGAGGTATTTCTTTGAAATACTATGCTTTTGGTTTCGTTTTTTGACAGAAATGTATTGGGAAGCCGAGGTGCATAGTCACTGTATCAAATAGTAACTTTGGCCGAGACCCATGTCCTAATGTTTTGAAGAGGTTATCGGTGGAAGCTGTTTGTGCTCCAACTAACGCATACTGGAGGAATTGATGGGCAAACGAAAGTGCCCTTTGGGTGTAGTGTGTAGTGACTTAACCGCATACCATCAGCAAAAAAGAAGAGAGAATAACGAGTATAGGTAAAGGTAATGGTAGCCGGATAGGATGAGTGTCATAGTTTTTCAGGAAAGTAGATTTCTTCTTATGCCAAAGGCATGTAATTTGTAATTTGAGTGGCTTGGCAGCCTGTTTTTAAACGAGTTATTGTCTAAAATAGGTGAATTAGAAACCTGGGGTCTACATTTCGGACCCTTCTGTGTGAATTGAGGGTCCCAGTGCCAGCCCCTTTTACTGGATATGGGCACTGGGAGAAGGCATTTTCGTTGGTGTGTTGTGCTTCTTATCTGGTTGATTGTATCACCGGGGCAAATCAAACCCCAAATTAAGTTCAAGTTGGGAGTGGATCCTCCTGTAACCATTTATCAAGTTAGGACAGGCCCACTGTTCTGGTAACCTTGCATTTTCTTACCTTTTTTTCTTCAGTTTATTTACGGGAGGATGGAAATTTTGCGGTGCGTGGCCGAGTTGGAAAAAGAGAAGTTTATAATGTGGAAGGTTAAGAGGGAAAAGAATGATTGGGACCCCCCCCCCCCCGGGGCGGCCGAGGGGCTTCAAATTCTGAACTGTAAAAAGTTTTAATTGAGGCGGACAATTTTGAAAGATTTCACAGAATAAGCCAAAAATTTCCTGTTGTTTCGCCAAAAGAAAAAAGGTTCCAGCCCTTTCCTTTCTCTGAAGTTTAACAAAAATCACACGCAACTTAAAAAAGCAGTGGCAAATTTGAAAACCGGTAACTATGAACAAGCAAACATGGCGATGTCAATGGAGTTATTATTTTATATTACTTGCTCACTATTAAAATCAAATAGCATGATAACTGTCGTTAGAAGTCATCAGGATATCTATTTCGAAGCTAAAATTTTCTCAACTCGCATCAAATTCTTAGAGTTCAAAATATGCCAACTCTAGAAAATCTTGTCCGACACCCATACTTCAGTTTCTATAATGAACACGATGATCCGTAACGCGCAGTAAAATGCGCCCATCTGTTGGCAACGTCACCTCATTGGAGTGTTTTGGAGTTGGTGGAATAGGCGTCATGTGATTTGTAGATAGGACAAGGAAGCTGAATTTCAAAATTCAAACACTGAACACAGAATAGAAGCCACAGACACGAAGCTAGCACTTACTTGCGTCAAAAATAGTAGCAAACGATTAATTCGATTATATTCACATATATCTCAAAGCTAACCAGCGATGAGAATCCGGAACGCTAATGATATCACGAATGCATGATCCGTTCTTCACTGTTCACGAAGAATTATTCTCTGGTAATCCAAGATAAGAGTAAACAGAAACTGATGGCATGAAATAACAGAATAAAAGCCTCAGGTCCAAAGGCATCCCAGTACTAGATGATAAGACAGAACATCAAACAGTACGTTTACGGCACTCTCTGAAGCCAGATTAAGCACTAGCTGTTGCCATATGTTTAGTAATAGTTTGCAGTAATTCCTCCTTCTTTGCTCCCACAACTCTGTCCACGATTTTCCCCTCTTTCAAGAACACAAAAGTGGGCATTGCCTCCACTGCCCAGTCTTGAGCAACAGACTGCATATAACAACAAATTATTTAGTCACTCAATTCAGAGGACATTCCAAGAATTGAAAGGGACGGAACTATACAACTTTTAGTTTTCTTTTACCTTCAACTCATCCACATCAACTTTGAGAAACGTGACACCAGGATACTTCTTGGCCAGCTCAGCCAGGACCGGTGCAATAAATCGGCATGGTCCACACCAAGATGCGGTAAAATCCACAACAATCTGGGTCAAACACAAAGGTACATCTCTAAACAAGGAGAGAATAACAGAAAACCTCTAATACAGATCTTGAGAATGCCTCAAATTTAAATCCACAAAAGTGTATTTCACTCAACTTCAACATACACGATTCATTTACGTGATCAATGCCATCACAGGTTTTGATTTACTGGAACTACTGTATCTTAGTTTCGTTTACCATCACACAATTCAAAAACAAGGATAGTGCAAGAAAATGCCACACCATACTATCATATGAATAGCAAAACAAGAGATTGGGGAAAGAGAAGCTCCGAATCATGCTTTTAAACTTTTTATCAGTGTCTTGTTCAATTATGTTCCCAGCTTTCAACACTGCTTCCCTCTTCCACAGCTTGGTGCTTTTCATGGCCTGTTTCTTTTATGACATATATGCCAGAAATCCTGAAGGTTTTAAATAGGTCTAATTCCAAGAAAAAATGAAAATCATGGAAGTCCCCCAAAAGAGAGGGAGGTTGAGAATAAAGCAGTAGAGCATTTTGTTGAACAGATTAAGCACGTGATAATAGTCAAATGTTATGGACACTTCTCCCCCCCCCCCCTCAGGTAAAGCATCAGTATTTCGTTCTCTATCTAACCCTTGCATACACTGGAAAGCTATGAATTGTGAAAAACCATAAAACAACTATTCAAGCTGCCAATAAAGGTTGGTCCAATTTGGTAAGGATACAACTCATCCTATGAGTACATGAGTAATCTTGCGGAACCTCATCAGTGAGCAGTTTGTAAGTACAACTTACCTAAACTTTCTTGTGCAAAAGAAGAGGTATATTCAAGCTATATAAATTTAAAAACCATCAAGCGTTTGCTTCAATCAATTACATATACTTTGAGTTTGACCAATCTTAACGGCCAGCATGAAAAGATTATCCATATAAAAATCTCAGAAGTACAGCTTTATTCACCCACCAAATAACTTGTACGATTTCATGTCTCCGAGATTACCGTAGCTTAAACTGTTGTACGGGCGGCACAACAAGAATCACAATCAATATCACCCAAAAGCGCAATTAATCCCAGTCTCCTTCAGGCAGATAGATTTTAGCGTCAATTGAAAGACACGTTATTGGTATAAATGGGTCAATCTAAAAAAGACAAATTTCCAAGACTAGTAGAATCGAATATCAAAACATAAAATCCTTGAAAATGAGTTTTGAAAAACCCTCGTCGCATGATAAAATGGTCGATCCATCAAGTTCAGCAAATTCATGCACGCTTTTCAACATAATCCAGATAATGACCAATCAAAGAAAACCCATCAATCAGAATCGCATCACATCCAACGACTATAAGCCAAATCGGGGGTATAAGGAACAGATCCATTCACAGGAATTAGAGATAATCAGTAAACGAGAGAGGTAAAAAATCAAAGATAATGTAAAACCAGTTTCTTGGAGTCATTTCCCTTCTGGAGTTGCTCGTTCCAGGCCTCAACGGTGTGGCAACTGATGACCTGCCCTTCTTCTGCCGCCATTTCCTCCCCGTCTTCTCGAACTCTCCAATCTCGCGAGCGTATAACCTTAAACATAAATAAGCAGGACCGTGAGGTGATATCATGAAAATGACCTTCAGCTTATGACTTTTTTACGAGTTTGCCATGAGGCGGATGACGCGGCTGAGGATCTCATGCAATGTGAAAAAATCATTCGATGCCACTGACGTGGATCGCGCATTTATCTTTTCGGGTTTTTTTTTTGGACTCATATATTTTCGGGTAGGGGTGCACATGGGCAGGGCTGGGCAGGGCAGAACCCCTGCCCGATGCCCAGCCCGAAACATGAACGGGCTGCATTTTGCAGCCCGCTGCCCGGCCCTGCCCATAGAAGCCCTAACCATTTTGGGCTGGGCATGGGCGGGCTGGGCAGGGCGGGCTTTGCTGCCCAAATGGTGATGACCTACCGATATCACATATAAAAAAACTTTCATCCATACCTGAAAATTACATTTCATAATTTTATATTTTCACACATTAAAATTATCCAAAAATAATTCAAAACAAGTCTTAGGAAATATCCAAATAAATAATATTCATAATCTATTTAGAACAAAACAACTCTCAAGATTGTAATTAAAGTCTTGAAATTCAAACGGTTTGCATTAATCTCCAGAAAGTTGAGAAAAGAATAAAACATCTGAAAAAATTGAAGAGGGGTTGAAGCACATTGAGATATTCCATTGGGAGCCAGAGATGGCGATGTAATAGAAACTTGATTATCCATTTAAGTGGCAAAAATTAAATGTTACCTAAAGGATTGCAAAAGATATTAAAACTGAAGCAATAGGCTAACAGGAATAACATAGACCATATAAAAATGGGGTGAAAATAATTGTAAAAAGAAAAATAAAAAATCTTATAATCTCATAATAATTTAATATAACGACTTTTAATATGTAAATACTTATTATGCGATACAATGCAGTTAGCAGTCCATACAATTAAAAGACTTCTTTCTATCATATGACTTGTTCATAAAAAATTAATACAAAATAACTAAATATAAATTAAATAGAAAACATGTAATTCAGATAATTAAACCCCAATTTTCTTTCCATGCTCCTACCCCAATCTTGTTTTCTATCTTGCATAAATATTCAAAATTGTTTATTATACAAATATGTAATGTATGAACTCCATTCTCTAACAAAGAAAGTTGTTAATGACATAGAGGGGAAGATTGACTTATAAATAGCCAACACTACAACAACAACAAACAATAGGATATGCACAATAAAGCTCACGAAGAACAAGTTAAAAACAAGATACAACTGCTTCTTTAGAAGAATTAGATCCCCTAAAATAGAAAACTAATAGACATGTAATAATAATAAGTTAAATTGCAAAGAGGAGGGAGATAACTTTTTTTTAGGTAAAGAAATGTAATATATTAATATTGTTTTATAATTATAATATATATAATCTGGGCAGGGCCAAATGGGCAGGGCAGCATGTCCTGCCCGATGCCCAGCCCTGCCCATGAAATGCCCAGCCCAAAGATGCCCATTCTTTTTCGGGCTCTTTTTTTTCGGGTTGGGCTGGGCAATTTTTCTTCGGGCTCGGGCGGGCTCTGCGGGCATTTGGGCTTCATGCACACCCCTATTTTCGGGTATAATCTCCCCATATAATACTTTCTAATTTTTAATATAAGACTTATTTAACTAATTTTATTAGATTAAAAATTAAATAAGTAAGTTAATTATAAAAAAATATGACATGTTTTTTCTAAAACACTATAATTATTTTCTTTGATATCTCCCTTTCTCTTCTACTTAATTATGATTAAGGAAATATCTATAAGAATAATTTAAAAAAATTGATAAACATAAGAAATAGGTCTTATGTTTAGAATCAAAATTAACTTAATAATTAAGTCTTATATTAAAAATCAGAAGAGTATAATGTAAGAATTTTGATATTTAATTTTGCGTACTATTAAAATAGATGATTTTTCAATTATAAAAAAAATAATATTCATGCACGTGCAATCCCCCGCGTTTCCCCAGCCATTGCCAATCACACTGCTCGCTTGCAACTGTTGTCAAATTGAGGCCAATATTAGAATTGACATATTGACAACAGATCTTTATGCATATATTACCATGACTTCCAATTATAAGAGTTAGTTAATTAATTAGAATAGATTAAAAAAATAAGTTAAGTTAGTTGTTTGTAATAAATAGTTGTTGTCTCTACTAAAATATCCTTGCTAATTAAATGTGTTAGTTAGAACTACTTTTATTAGAAAAATTATTTTGGAAACAAATGTATAAATACTAGAGATAAAGTAGATTGAGATCTTATATTTAGGACCAAAATAAAAGTCAAATAAGGTCTTATATTAGGAATCGGATATAGAAAGTCATCCTTTCTTCCTTATAATTTTGAAAAATTTAGATGTAAGAATCTTAATTAAATCTAACTAAAATACCTAAATCAAAATTCAGGTCTATATTTTTAACAAATTTATAATCAAGTCATAATGTATAATTAGAAATTTCTGAATGTTATTAAATGATTTAAAATTATAAATATAAATAGCCTTTAAATAATTTTTTTTTGTTTTCAGTTCCTATAATTTATGTTAGTTTTATTTATTCAAGCAATGTTGCATCCAACATGAAAACATAAATTATAACACTTAATATTAAATATTTCTTTTAATTAAAATATTGTGAGCTTTACGGCTTAACATTCTTTTATTGGTACAACAACCGGCTGTTAGATCCCAGGTCAAAAAAACTGATCCCTATTAGATACTCATTCAGGTCCTACTTATAAACTTCAAATTTGAAGAGTGATATAATCTATTTTATAAGTTTCAATTTAAAATTTGTCTAAACATTTAATACATTTTTTTTTTAAAGTTTACCCTTAGTTATTTATTCTTTTTCTTTTGTTATACTCTCTTATCACATTTATCTATACATTCTCTTTAATATTTTTTTTTTCATTTATTATAAGAGCATACTTGAAAATAAAACTATATTTTTAACCTATTTAATATTTTTAACTGATTTTAACTAATTATTCATTATGTGTAAATTAATTATCCGAAATTAGTAATAAAGACCGGAGGGAGTAGTAAAGTTTTGTTTTTAATTTGAATTAGACCATTGTTGTGCCTGAATAAAATGTAATTCTCTCGTTTAATCTACAAAACCCAACTCAAACATATGACCATCCTATATCCCTTCCACAACTTTTAATTTATCCTTTTAAACATATTGGGCCGAACTTCCCTAATAATTATCCAGTCTGATGAACAACAATTGTACCCAAAAAAAAATCGATGAGTCAATAATCAATACCATGCACAATTTATTTAACAAGAAAAAGGTCGGCTGGGAAAGGTGTGACTATAAAAATCACTTGGACAGATGCCAACCAAAAAAAAAAAATCACTTGGGCAGATAATAAATGATATAGTCTGGATATCTCTACCAGACTTAAAACTGAATTACGGTATTAAACATTGTGGCAATACGTAATATACATGCTACAGGTAAATCAAGTTTTTGAAACAGTAAGTACCAACAAGGAACCAACCAACAAGAGCAAAGGTGAAAAATGACCAATAAGCTAGGAAGGTGAAGCCCCCAAACGTGATTCCAAGAAAAAACACAACAGCAAAGGGTAAAACAGATTTCAAAACAGTTGCTGTGGAGACCCAAGAACCATTGAGTAAAATGTAAATAGCAAGGTTTACCACGTTCCACCCACCAGACAAGAAGCCCAGCCTATTTAAATTATTGGCAACAAACGAGTGACAATTGCATGTTAAAAGATTGTAAGATCGATGCTGGAATTCTTGGGTGCTCTTCATAAGCGCGTCATCCCATGTCCTCAAGTCCCCACTGGCTTCATCCCGCATGAATTGATCCTCTCCACTGAAAGCAGATCGACGGGAGGGGATGCAACACTGCTGGCAGGGATTATAAAGAACATATCAGAAGCAAGAAGGAGAAGAAACAAATGGGTAAACAACATGGATTAAGTAGAAACTACTCTAAATTATAGGTCTTCACAATGGTCACAGATCGGCCAGAGTATGCATCAGAGGATCATGCCAAAAGCCCGAAGGAATACAATTACACAAATACCTAAAAGTTGCAGTCATTCCACAACGAAGTGAAGAGCTCTAATTGCTCCTTTATTTATCGTGCTGATAAAAACAGCGTCTACCTAGTTTTTGGTTTAGGCCATTTTTTTCCAGCATAAATGTTGGCTACTAAGGGGGCGACCTTTGCATTTCTTCCCATCCAAATTGATAATAAAAGCAAATAATATCACATACCTTTTCTTTACTTATCTGAATATAGCGAGTTGGGGCTCCAAATGCAAAGTTGTCTACACACACAAAATTAGGCCCCGCAAAATCCAATATTACTCCATCCTCTCTGCAGATGCCAATGTGACCAATGAAAGGAATCAACCATGAGATAACAGGAAGAGGTGACCACACAATACAACATGGAAAACGTGCCCGACTGGGATCAATTTGCATAGGATGAGAAAAACTTCCTTCCACGATCTGCTGGCGTTCAGGGTCCAAATCTGATTCCATTGAGAAATCGACGGATAACGACTTTCCTAAAGATAACATGTGGTATCAAAAAGGAGTCCTTTTTACTTACACACACACACACACACACACACACAAGCAAACATGATTTGAACCTTAACCAAATCAACTATGAAGATGATGATGCGGCAAGAATGCAAGTGTAATGTGTTTCTCTAGGTTGCAGTTGACATGGAGCTTACCTATAACATTGGAGGACATAGATAGCCTAAGAATCCACCAGATTATATTGAAGAAATTCAGAGGCGAGGCAACTTAGGCAATTTACATCGCGAACCTATGATACTAGACAAATTTCCTTTCAATACTCCAACCAAGAACAGCACTCAATTTAATTTCAACGTCTTCCAGGTTTATCATAGTCTTGCTTAGCTTTTATTACCCGAGAAAAAAAGAGCATAAAACTTGTCTAGAGTTAACAGAGTTTAGAAATTTCGCATTTCTTGTGCTCAGCTTGGCTCTTTTATTTAGCACAGAGGGTATAGATGAACGGTCCAGAAAGGCATGGAGGGTCAGAAAAAACGAACGATTTAACATTTGTCGGAATTATCTAAAACAGCAGATGCAGCCCTGATAAAAATGTCACAAAAACAATAGCAGTAACATGATTATAGACTTACAGGATCCAAATGCGGAAGATGAAAAGGATCCGATCTAGGGTTACTCGGCTATTTCTGCAGGTACTGATGGGTGCGCGCGTTCTATACCCCTGGAGGAGGAAGAATTTGCTTGACGAGGCGTATTACGGGGCTCCGTCGAATCAGACGACGTTTTTTTGGTTCCCTGGGCCTCCCTCCCGGGAGCCATTTCGGTTTTTTTTTTTTTAATTCGTTTTCACTAACTAGGAGATTTTTTTGCCCTTGTGAGTTGTGGCATTTTGCAAGGGGTCTATTTTCTTTGAAGAAAACGCGGTACAATTAGTGCGCGGCGAATAAAATTAAAACTTCACAGTAAATTTACTCCAAAAAAAAACTTCACAGTTAATCGATCGTACTTATTCACGTTTTTTTTTAATTACAGGACAGCTCATCTCCTTAATATATGACCTACTTTTATGGTATAATATGCACTATAAAATAACTCTTACAAAGAAGAGGAGTAGTATTTATCAAGGTACTGAAAACCGGACTGGTCATTGAACCGGTCGAGATAGTGGTTCAAGGGTCAGAGGGTCTGATCGGAGTCAATCCGGAGTCAGACCGGTAATTATTAAAATATTATAATTTAATTAAAAATATTCATATTTGTTTATAAATATTTTTAATTAAATTTGAAATGTGCTTAAAAATTAAATTTTCTGCAATTATTCTCTTTAATTATCCAATTTTTATTGATAAATCATATTTTATATATTTCTATCCTTTTCGATTGGTCTTTTTAGTAATCAATTGTAGTTAATTGAGCTTCTTTAGCTTATACTTTGTTTCATTATTTAAATGAATTTTCACTTTAGGATATTATTTTATTTTGGGCAGTGTTTTTTTGGAGTTTAATTAAAAACTGATGATGAAAGACAATAATTGATTATTTCTATTTTTTCAATTTATTTTTTTTGGGCACACTAGTGTAAATAAAAGTTAGGGAATTAAATGATAGTTTTGTCGTATTCTTTTTTTTACGTTTTTTCAACCTAACCTATTAGGGGTGTGTTTGGATGAAACCAAACCGTGATTTGGAAAAGTGATTCTGGAGAATAGATTCTGTTGAGAATAGATTCTGAGAAAAAGTGATTCTGAGAAGTGAGAGTGTTTGGATGATTATTACCAGAAGCACTTTTTACATGTGAAAATTACCAAAAAAGGTATAAGTTAATATGATAATTATATAAGGGATAGATTTTATGATATATTTTGATTTGAAAAAATAAAATTGTTAATGAAAATTTTTTTACTAACATAATTAATAATATATAAGATAATATAATTAGTACATAATTAATATGTGTATATATATTTATAAAACATAATATTAAATATGTTTATAGAAAAATGATTTTTTTTTGCTAACAGAAAAATATTAATTTTCTTTAAAGATTTTAAACATGAAAGCCTCTCTTATCTCTCCTTCCACATTCTCTACCACCGTCCTAATAGTCGGCCCACCCTTGCAATTATCCTTCGCATACTTCAACTTCTTATCTGCGTCATCCACTGCCATGCCCAGCACCGACCTCGTTCTGTTCCCTTCAGAACACCCCAATACGTTTTGTTTCATCTCCTCCGGCAGCGATGACAAGTCGCAATCGAAGAACAGCAGCACCTCCTTCTGGTTCGGAGCCACAGCGTATCTGAAGTCGAGAGTGAGGTTGTCGGAGGGAGAGAGACATCTGGTGGAATTGGAGATAGCGGAAATCGCGATCAGAGCAAAGCGAAGCGAGCAGAAGAGTGATCGCGATGTGAGTAGAGCACAGCGGAGAGAATCGCGAGCAGAGCAAAAGCGAAGAGAATGCGCGAGCAGAGTAGTCCGTTGCCTTCAATTATTGGGTGTCAGCCAGCAGATTTCAAGGGTATTTTTGGATCAAATGCGGTTGCCTTCAATTATTGAGCCAGAAGCGAGAATTTCTGGCTTCTGATGAAACCATGGTTTCAAGCAAAACCACAGTTTAAAAAAAATGTGTGCCTGTTTGGATGACATTTTGTGCAAGCCAAATTCCAAACCATGGTTTCCAGTGTCATCCAAACAGGGCCTAGGTATAGGAAGATGGAGATTTTAGAAGCGAGGCGGCAAGGGCGCCGCTTTTGACCTGGGGGACTTCCAATTTCTTGTTCCAGGCGTGCTCGATGGCGAAAGAAAAATTTTTCAGTTCCAGATCCATGGACGTTCGTCGCCTCCTTTCTTCTTCAACCTGTACTGTCTCCCATCAATTATAGTTAAAAAAATCTCTTCAATCACAGGTCTCTATTTATAAATGTATGATGATGTTCCTCCCGTTCTTAATACATGTGTCAATTAGAGAGTTAATGTTGATCCTATATAAAAGACTTATTTTACATATTTATCAATTTTGTTCCAATTAACTCTATTGATATTTTCCTAATAATCATCAAGCAAGAGAGAGAGAGGTAATTAATGAAGATGCTTTTGGTGTTTTAGAAAAAAAAATCACATTAACTAATTTAATCAATATTATTAATTTACTCAAATTAGTTAATTAGATTTTATATTAAGAATCGGATGAGTATTAAATTTGAATTTTTTTTGGGAAAAAGTTTAACATATTCGTAAAGTAATTGACATTGATACAGCTACAAGTCTACAGTGACCTTACACTTGATAAAAAATGCTGGCGGAAAAAAATTCATAAAAATGATTGGTTTACTTTTTTTAAAAAAAAGAAAGGGATGGCATAGCCATGAAAGGAGAGATCAAATGCAAATAACTAAAGAGTTCAGCTCCTCAAGTCCATAAAATTCTTACACTAAGGAGACAAAACAATAACAGCACAAATTTGATTGCCCACGATACAAACATTCATCGTGAGTCCATTTGCATAGCTGTACGTCCCAAAGGCGAGTGTGCTTATATTTTAGTTTAAGCACTGTAAGAAGCAGCTTGATTTGGCTTTTGCAGTAATGTGCTTTTCCCTCAAAGTCAACTGGAAAAAAAAAACGGCTGATCTAAACATATCTTTACTTCAGATTTACCACCAACCCACCTTTCACACATTCAAAGGAAGTTTGGCATTCAAAACATGAATCCAAACAAAGCCAATGTTTGTGCTATCTTATGTTTAATGTTTAGCAAAGCTAGGGCATGCTTCAGGTGACATTTAAAACGTGGTTTACTCAGAATGAGTTAGAGTAAGCATAGCTGTGAGGTGACGTTCCTTAGGTTTGTAAGTCTAATCAGTTGGTAGGAGAAAAAACAAGTAATGAGAGGCAGCCTGGTTTAGGCTCCCAAGTCGGGGTTAGGAACCACCTTGTCCCCGTTTACAAGGTTATCCACTCATGACGTGAGCAAACTTGCCACTTCCCACCTCAGTGTTTGAATGGAATACAACTCTTAAAAGATTTTGCTGATCAGAATCTATATAAAACTTTGATCAATAACAGCACAAGATCACGAGGCATCAACTATATACACAGCCTCTTTTATATCTGTGTAAATGTCTAAATGCCCTTATGTCTGGTTTTAAGTAAATGAAGGTTAGAGCCTGCTATCCCCCTGGATAAATTGTGAAACAAACTGTAACATTGCTAAAAACAAATCATAACTTGTCTGGGGAAAAAAAAAATCCACGGAACTCTCTGCCACCTAAAGAATTTGTGGTGGAATCAGCGGTTGCACAAGGGAAGAATTATCCGAATTTTCTTCCACATGCTCCTTCGAAGGACAGGGGACTATGACCTCTTTGCTGGGCTTGGCTTCTTCACTTTTTCCCCAAACAACAAGGTATAATCCAAATATGATCAAACAAGCTCCAATAATTCTGCATTGCAAAAGTACTGTAAATAAGCATTCTGTAGCACAGCCCGAAGGAAACGAGGAAGCTTGACATTCTGTTCGTTAATCCAAGAATCATTATTTTCTACGTGAATGTCTTTATCTCGGACGAAGAATGGATTAAGTTAAATGAAATTACTAATCACTTAATAGCTTCGAGAAAGTGATTAAACTCAAGACAACAAACTTAGCTCAACTCAATATGAAAGAACGAGACATCAGCTGGCAGCTACAAATGCATTTTAAAATCTATTTCAATGACAGAGCAGAGCAGCCTAGCTAGTTTGTTACCATTCTACACTTGTTCGCTTCTGTCCTCTATCTTTTCTCCAATTGCTGTTATTTCATGAGTGTATACGACATGTACATGTGTTAATCAAGGCAGCTCCGAAGCCAAGTGTAGCTTTCAGGCCGAAATTAGGAAAGGGCATAAGAAGCTTACAATGAAAGTTTTATACCCCTGAGACAGTAATAGCTCTTCAAAAGTATATCACGCATATTTCGCCCTGGTAAAATTTTGAATAAAACAAAATGCAAGTGAAGGGGTTTGGATGATGAGAACTCACCCTCCCAAGAAGAATTCTTCACCTAAAGCAAAAGATGCGATTAAACCTACAATTATTGTCTGCACAGGCTGATAGATAGAAGTAAACACGGGCCCTCCCTGGCCAATAGCCCATATCTGTAATGCTGCTGCTAGCGCTGAAACCATCACTCCCTGAAACAACGAGTCTTTTTCTGTCATACTATTGGATGCCATCTAGACATTGAGCAACCTATGCCAAGAATGCAAGCAAGCGGACAGTAAAATATCTTCTCTCCGTATGTGTATCTAAAAAATTAGTGTTTAGGTTGTGAAGGTCATCAATTATGATTCCCAATTTCCAATGAGTCATGGCCAATTTAAACTTGCTGCCCTTGTCATCAAATTGAAAAGAAAAACACCGAAAATGTAGGGATTATGCTAATACACAATGGCTTATAGTTATATGCTAAATTATTAACAAAGGAAGATGCAGTTTAAGCATGAGTTTGATTCACAAACCGCATACAGAATGCCACAGAGCTCCTCGCTAGAGTTAAGCTTCCAGGCTTCAGAATCATGCTCAAAGGAGGCTGCCAGTATCGAAAATTGCACAATACCGAAGAAGCAAGTAGATGCTGAAACCGAGAGTGGGGCTGGGAATTTTTTCAGCACAGATGCTTGCATAACAATCCAACCAGACCAACTTACGCAGTGACCAATGAGCCCAATGCAACCCAAGGTCCAGCTTTTCTCATAGCCACCCCCTAATAACGGCAGCAGGTGTTTCTGATGTAAAGCTGAATGTGGATTATAAATGATAGGTCCCTTGAACAGTGTAATCACTGAAGCTCCTACTACGGAAGCAATGACTCCAAAGACCTTTGCTGCCCCCGATATCCTGTTTATCCGTACGCTCTCAAATCTGCACTTAACGAAATACATATGGCCCTAAGGGTAAGTATAGATGATTTTTCTTTTTCTTTCTTTCCTTTTTTTTTTCCCCTTCAAGTTACTAAGCCTTATTCGTAAACCTTTGTACTTGAACGTGGAAGCGTGGATGTAACAGAGGCCACCCTACTTAGTGCTAATACGAAAAATGGGGTAGAAAAGATCTAAAATTCTCAGTGATGAAGTTCTGATACATCTTTCTAACCTTAAGTGAGTAATCATATGTTTATCGTCCTTGAGACTGTGAATTAATTATAACTTGCCTGAGTAGTACAGCCATGAGAAAGGTTAGAGCCGGAACAGAATCTGCGTAGCGGACGCAAATGTTGGAGATGTATTTTCCAGACCCACGAGATAGAATCCTTCTTTCATTGTTATTCTGCCGCAGGGAAAATCAAGATCTGAAAGTTAGACTAATATGTCGTGTCAGTAACTGAATCAGTGGAGCTGCCTTGTGAAGAAATCATGGTCATACCCGACAAGTCCAAGTAAGAAGAACCGTATCACACAAGAAATGGTTAGCGATGGCCTTTGGTTCCTATTAGAGACGATAACAGATTAGGAAATCGGGTGGTATGAAGCGGATGAAGAGGGAGTACTAGTATTAAAAACAAATCCAAGAAATCAGTCGGGTAAACTGCATTTGAATTGTGCACAGGAGCATATAATGATTATGAGTCATACCCAGAGGCAGAGAGGCAGAAAGTCTGTCAAACTCAAATCCGATCCTTGCATCACCCGATCCCGAGATATCTATGTAAATAATTTGTGCATAAAACACGGCATTTGTCATATTATTAACATACTCAGTATCACTTCCAGTTCTAATTATAATACCTTCTTAAATAATAGGATTTTATAATTAACATCAAACGTGGTATAAAAAGTAAAATGGCGTTAAACAATATAATACCTTTTGGATTTATATATAATTGCAGAAAATTTAAATTTTATGAGATTTCTCAAATTTTTAATAAATTATATATTTATAGTTTTAATTTAATCACCTTATTTCTGAGGTTTAATTTTACATATTTAGAAAGTCATTTCTACTTTTTAAGGGATAGAGCCATAACTAAATCATAACTTATACAAATCAATGGATAAAATAATTTTTTGGCATTGAATGGATAAAATAATTAAAACTTGAGGGATTATGTAATAATTAAAATTTAAAAATTAATTCAAATCAAAAGTAGGAAAACTAAACCCAAATGAATTATTATTAGTATACAGTATATGATTACAATCCTCATTCACCCAAGATAAAACAAATAAATGAATATGTTGGAGAAGAATTCCCGTCAGCTTTCCCGCGTGCCTCCTCTGCTCTCGCCCGCCCGATGTTTATTCGCCGTTTCCAACTCTCAGTGGCGCTGCCGCGGAATATCGTGATTCTGATTACGGTCACGAATTAATCTCAGTAGGTTTTCAAAGAAGTTTCAAAAAATTGTAAAACCTGGTTATTGAGCTAAATAGGACTAGAGTGGCGGAGCTCTCAGCGTCACTGCCTCCATGCCGCCTAAGAGAGAGAAAAACGACGCCGATGTCGTTACCATTGACAGTAGCGACGACGAAAATGGCGCGGTTCCTGCAACAAGCAATGCGGCTTTCAATAAGACTCCATCAGAGGCGGGGCCACAACCACATGTTCAACGACTGAACAACTTTGAATCAAATCCGGTATCCTTGGTCCCTGACAATCTTATGTCCCGTAGTTTCTGGAAAGCTGGGGACTACGTTGTTGGCCCAACTGTGAAGCCACCTCCCGTTCAAGATTACTTGGAGCTTGCCCGCGTTCATCCCAAGTTTCTTCATTCTAACGCAACCTCTCACAAGTGGGCTTTTGGGGGTATGCTCTAGCTATCTGAACTATATTTGTATATTTTTGGCTCGTCATGTGCCTATTTTGGTCGAGTAACCGAGAAGTCCTTTCTGATAGAAGTTTTAGGATAAGTTCATGAGTTCAGGATGGAACGGAGCGAAACCATCTTTAATGGAAAGGGGTGGAGTAGGATGGGTGGAATGCAATGTATCATTGTTTGGGTTTTTCAGTAGGAGAAGGAATGGTTTCATTTCACTGTAATTTGAAAATTATTATAAAATTAATGGAATGGAATTGATTGTAATTATGTTTTTTCGAATTTTAGAGTGATAGATGGAGGAAGATCGGGAGGGGAGAGAAGGATGGAGGGTAATTTTGTAATAGTGTTATTTGTTTCAATTCATGTTATCCTTAACCCCTAATTTGGGGGTAAAGAAAAGAAAAAAGTGGGTTTAGGATGGACGAGGACGGCTTGAGAAGCAATCCCAATCCATTCCACTCCTTTTAAAAAAAAAAAAAAAACCCAAATAATGCCACAGCCTTTTTAAATATTCCACTCCATTCCATTTATCCTAAAAAACACTTCCAAACCGTTTTTGAAAACGATCCCCTTCAAGCAATATTGATCCTTGAATTACCTTGACACAATAAGATTTTATATGGACAAAATTGTGGGTTGGATACTTTTATGTTTGCTGCCCATATATCTATGGTTGTTTTTTTAGTGTGACATAGTGGTTTCAGGAACGACCTTCCAGTTTCATGGTCAAACTTTACCCTGAGGAAATGCTTAGCTACAATATCTAGTATTTAGTAAACATTTTCAGAATCTCGTTGCATGTACTGTTGACTGAACTGGTTAACAATTTATGTTTAGTTATAATTTACTGCTGGTGTTTGTCGCATACTTGCATCTAGTCATCATTTCTTCAAGTAGAGCACTTAATATGCTTTAAAGTTTTTGTTGTCAGATGATAGGAAGAAGAGTATCTGGAGTACTTGACTCTGTTCTTTAAATTTTGTATGAAAATGAATGCTTCTTTGCTTATGACAATCCTTGAAAACCGTATTTTGTTATAATATGTGCTTTTCTTTCTTGGCAGCAATTGCTGAGCTTATGGATAATGCCGTTGATGAGGTATACTTTCCATATATTCTTTTCTGAGCAGATAATGCTACTTTATCATAATGAAAAAATATACAATTTGTCCTATGGTTATTCAGTCCTTGGTCTTTTGGTCACAGTGTTCTCAGAGTCGTTACTTCCTTTTAGATGTCTTCTATAAGTTTTGAGAGAGATGTAGGCTGATCTTGAGGCGGAATCCAATTAGTTTCTTGGTTGTAAGACCTGAAATTTACTTTCATGCCTACATTGTTTGCATCTCTCCATCAATGAACGTCTGCCAACATGAGGGGCAGAAGATATGTTAAATTTATAAAAAAACTTTACTGTTATAGACATTACTAGTGATTGCATATTATGTGTACATGCAGATTCAAAGTGGTGCCACCTTTGTAAAGATTGATAAGCTTGATATGAAGGATAACTCACCAGCATTACTTATCCTAGGTATACTATCTAAAAATTCATACCTTACACTGTGATGATGTTTGCTGGATTTATATGGCAATGTAAACATACTGGGGATTGTTTCCCATGCAGATGATGGTGGTGGGATGGATCCTGAATCATTACGGAAATGCATGAGCTTGGGTTATTCATCGAAGAAATCCAAGACAACTATTGGACAATGTGACTAACTTTAATGTTCTTTTCTCATTGATTACATATGATTTAGTAAGGAACATGTATTTATAGTGTAACATTTTGCAGGACTAAGTTATTTTCCTAATGCATTTATTTTACTCTCCCCCTCCCCCTTTATTTTAAGCTGTCAATTTTTAAGTGTTTCCTCTTGTTATTGTTGTGAATGTTATTAGCCATTGGTTTCTGAAATGCATCTTTTTAAATTAAATAACACTTGTGCTGTTCTAGATGGCAATGGATTCAAGACCAGCACTATGAGACTAGGTGCAGATGTCATTGTTTTTAGTCGTGCTATGCGATCAAGGTAATCACCTCATGTTTCTGAATCTAATATATTTCTCTTGACATTACATGATTTGAGTTCATTTTGGATGGTTAATCATCCACAAATGATGAACTATCTAAAATTAAATTATTTTAAAGGTGATATTTGACCTAGGAATTGATCAAGACAAAGTTGAATGTAGTTGTGGTGTCTTCAATTGTTTCTTACTCTTTTTGTGAAATTAGCTCCTTGATTTAGTTGAACTCACTTATTTGGGATTGACGAAGTAGTTCTTTTTTCGCTGCTTGAAGTCATAAGGAAGAGTGACTATCTAGCAAAAATTGAAATCTATTTGAGCATGATTGGTGAAGGAAGTTATTAGGCATGGCAAATGGAGAAGAAGGGTTTAACATATATTAAAAGGAGGTAAATTGATCCTAGTGTGTGTAATATTAGTAGATGGTACTTAACAGATATATATATATAGTATATCTTTTATAGGAATTTGGCAGTTGATACTGCTTCAGATTATTATTTTTTGACATATTTATCAAGACAAAGTTGAATGTAGTTGTGGTGTCTTCAATTGTTTCTTACTCTTTTTGTGAAATTAGCTCCTTGATTTAGTTGAACTCACTTATTTGGGATTGACGAAGTAGTTCTTTTTTCGCTGCTTGAAGTCATAAGGAAGAGTGACTATCTAGCAAAAATTGAAATCTGTTTGAGCATGATTGGTGAAGGAAGTTATTAGGCATGGCAAATGGAGAAGAAGGGTTTAACATATATTTAAAAGGAGGTAAATTGATCCTAGTGTGTAATATTTAGTAGATGGTACTTAACAGATATATATATATATATATATATATAGTTTCTTTTATAGGAATTTGGCAGTTGATACTGCTTCAGATTATTATTTTTTGACATATTTTTTGTGTGTGATCTAGGATTTGTAACTGGATTAATGGGGTAATGTAGGATTGAGTCAACAGTTTTTAGGCATTCTCAATAGTAAATGATTTTGAAGTTTGAACCTGGAGATATATTATTCCATAGGCCATAATAGTATCTTTTTATGTGAGGATTTTAATAATTACATTTGTGAGGATTTTAATAATCACATTTGAGTTTCCTTAAGATTTTTTATCTAGGCTGCTATGGGTTGGTTTATATTTAGTGGGGAAATTTACCCCTTTCTTTTGATCTATTGATATTTGATAAATATTCTTCTCCTCTCTCTATTGAGAATTGGCGAGTGCAATTCTTTGTGTATCACTAGAGCATGAATGAAAACAATCAACTTGAATCTGGACAGCCCTTGTCTCATCTTTAATTCCTTCCCCTACTTCTTCTTCTTCTTTTTGTTTTTTTTGTTCCATGTGGGTGCAGTGTTATTTGCCAGTTAGACAGCCGCACATTTATCTCAATGGTTTAGTTGATTGTTTGATAGTCGTCATGGTTCTTGAGTAGAGCACTCTGGTGTGCGCTACTCTGGAAGAAAACAGGGTTTCAAGGAGGCTCCACTGGGCGAAACAGGGAATTAAATGGTAGCCTACCTAATTCTCATGGGAATGGTTTAGTTGAAGGAGAGAGAATGAGAGAGAGAAGCTAGGATTATAGTTGGAAGGGAGAGAAGGATATTGATGGTTTATGGAGAGACTAGCATCTTGAATGATAGACACTCATCTCCATCTTCATCTTCTTTCTAGTTTACTACTGCTTCATCTGCAAATGCATCTCTTATTGATGTGATTTCAGCTTATGCATCGATAAAAAAAATAAAAGTTGAGCCAGTTTCACCACTCTGCAAGTACTTTGCTCTTTGTACATGTCTTTTTTTTCTTTTTGTGTTGCAGTATTTTTAAGTTTCATTTGCTGATAACATTATTTGTGTTCAATATCTTACACTTTTTCCTCAGTCAGAAAACACAAAGTGTGGGTCTGCTATCCTATACCTTTTTGAGGAAAACAGGGCAAGATCATGTTATCGTTCCAATGGTAATATTCGCTTTTCAAAAATATGAGTAAAGTTTTGTGCGTCCATATTAATATATATTCACTGTTATTCCCTTTGTAGATAGATTTTGACATATCTGGCCACTGGGCTGAGCCAATTATTTATAGCTCGGAGGAAGATTGGAAGGCCAACTTGAAAACAATCCTTGATTGGTCTCCATTTGCATCAAAGGAGGAACTAATGCTTCAGGTTCATTTCATTCTGCTGTATGCCCATGGATGCTATTATTTTGTGGTCATGTCAGACGCTGTAATTATAAAATTCTGAGTAACAGATTTTTGTCTTCAGCAGTGCACTTATTCACCATGTATCTGTGAGGTTTAGGCCTTATGTAACTAATCTAAAAGATGCTGAACCTCAGCTCTATAAGTTAACTGTTATGAAAATCATTCTTATGCACATTTCACAAGGCTTGTTGATGTGAAGAATCGAGAATTAACTACATACTTGCCTTTTTTGGCAGCAAGCACCTTACTTTACAGGATCCATCTGCTTCTCCTAGCCTTTTATTTTGCTGACACGAATTCCCATATTAGCATACGGCCAAAACCTGTTGCACAATGTTATATAATAATAATTAAATGTAATAGATTCAGTAGTTGGTTAAGAGGGGTTGGTGAAATAAGGTAGCTATTAGACCAATCCTTCCTTACTAACCATCGAGTCTGTTACATTTTATTATCATTTTATAACACAACTCCCAGAATACTAGCATGCAAATCCCCATTTTATGGATACAATAAGAGGTTTATTGAGTCATTGATGGCACTTTTTCTCAATTTCTAGAAGTTAGTGGGTTGTGGATTCTATTTACTAATCAGCTCATTTATCTGTTTCAGTTTGAGGATATTGGTTCTCACGGGACGAAAGTTATAATATACAATCTATGGTTGAATGATGAAGGGATATATGAATTAAGTTTTGATGATGATGTTGAGGTATGCTGCTGCGTTTATATGTTGGGACTTTTTCCCTTGAGGATTACTTTGGAAATGCATTCTCATAAATGATTTCTGCATGTGATTAAAATTTCAAATATATTGCAAATGACGGGAAACATATATGAAAAGGTTTTGCTCTATTCAAGCCTTTGGACATTTTAGTTCTGAATTTTGTATCGGAAAAGAATATTTTTTGGAAAGGTTTTTTGTTATGAATATTGGCCAGAAACCACTCGTCATACTTGTAGAAATTATCATAATCATACAGGCCACAAACTTGAGCTCATTCACTTTAAACTCCCTGTTATCTATACGGCTGACATGCGTCTGACTGGCTTTTTGTCAAACCATATTTCTGAGACGTAGGAAATACAACTTAAGCTTAACTAAAGTTCTTTGTTTTCTTTCTTTGTCTACACCTTGTTGTGATCTTGTTTGGTATGCTCGTGTTTATACATTTAAATGTGGATGCCTACTTTTTTTATTCTGTGGAATTAATTGAATCTTAAATGACAGATAGATGAAAAATATTGAACGTCATAAATCATGCTTAGAGATCAAGTTTTCAATAAAAATGCCTAAACATAAATCTCTGACTGGTTTAAAGAAGTCGATATCACAAATTGCAAATTAATATATTTTTCTATAATCTAATAATCCAATGAGCGCATGAAAGCTTTAGTGCTGACAATCCAATTACTTTTTATAATTTACTTATATAGGTAATCAAGTAGGAATGTTGAATGCGAAGGTAGAACATTAGAGAGATAGTGTTGCTAACCATGTGTACATGTGGATGATATTTGAATTTTTCTATTTTATTCATTTTATTTATCTGTTTGGGTCATAATTTTATCAGTTAAATAAGTATCAATGAACACAATACAATATTCCAGAGCAGAATTATTGAAGCCCTCTTCTGGGGTTTGTGATCACAATACTACAGATATTCATGAAAGACTTATGCATCAGCTGTGTGTTAACAACTACAAGATGTTAGATTAATTTTTTGGGGACGGGTTTTCTGGATTTGATCCAGTTGATTTGCATTGAGACTGGTTGAAAACTAGTTACAAATTGCATTAATTGATTGCATTAATTAATTCTCACAATTGATGGTGATTTGCGTGACTCTTAATTTGGTCAATTAATAGTTTTCCATTCATCCTTATGATACAAATTATGCAATGAATCCAAATTCAATTGCATGATAAATACAAACATCTGATTGTATGATCTCTGGCGCAAGTGCTTTTCAACTCTTCTGCTAAAGCAACACCAGGCTATGCTCGTCTTGCTAGCTATGCACCTCTTTTTAATGCTGGACTCAGTTGTTAAAAACTGCTGATTTGTGTTATGCCTTCTGGACTCGGTTGTTAAAAACTGCTGATGTGTGTTATGCCTTATTAACCTGCCAAAAGAACTTCCTATCAGATCTTAAACACAAGGCCCACCTTCAAATTCTGTGAAAGTTTTGATTCAGTGAAGGACCTGGTTGACATGAGATGCCTGAGTTGATGCTTGGCAATTGTCAAGCACGCTAAATTGACTTCCTGTTCTATGTCAACTACAGAATGAATTGAATTGATCGCAACAGCATTTGGGCAAAAAATCTAAGTTATGCTTAACTGGGAAAGAACAGCCTCCTCTAAAGCCATTACCACTGCCCAGTAAGAAGGCAGGACATATTGTCGTATATATCAACACTTGTTTTTAATATCTTTTTGAAGGAAACCATTTAAGTTGGGAGCTTTCTCAGTTCTAGAATTGCTTTAAGGTCGTTACTCTTTCTGTTAAGATAAACTGACTTGTTTGGAGTCGTAGCACAGTCAGTTTGTTGATAGCTCGGTTACTATTGACAGAGATGTTGTGCCTGTGCATCAGTTATGTGCTGAAAGAGCTACTTCTATATATTTTTACTAGTTGACCGTTCAGTATATTGACTGATTCTTGAAAGTAGCTACGTCTTGCTTTGCTCTTTTGCATAGGATATTAGGCTGAGGGATGAGGTGAATCGTGGAGACATGAAAAAGTTGAACAAAAAAACTGTTCATCTTCAGTCACATATTTCCTATCGCTTCCGTTATTCATTAAGGGTAATGATTTATACTTCCAGTTTCAACTATTACGAGTTTCATCATTTTTTTATTTGCTGTTTACTCTAAATGACCCTTTTATTGCTTCAGGCTTATGCTTCAATTTTGTACCTCAGAAAATTTCCCAACTTCAAAATCATACTAAGGGGACGACCTGTGGAACAGTTTGACATTGTAGATGAGCTGAAACATTCACAAGTAGTTACATATAAGCCCAATCTAGGCGTGGCATCAAAGGAGGTAAGATTCATGATACAAGTGCTTGAATACAAGTTTTGACTTAATTTATATGGCACTACTTAGGACGCTTCTATTTACTTCTGCTGAATGAAAAATGGATTCATAGACAAATAAATTCTGCATGTGCTTGAGTTGTAAAACATAAAGCAAAGAATTGATTAGCAGCTCTTTGCGGGGTTTCAAATTTCTTGCCAAATGGTTTGCTCAATTTCTTATGAGACAATAGGGAATCAAATGTAAAATGTACTCATCTACCCTGTTTTTTCCTTAAAAAAAAGGATGAAAAAGTGGCAAAAAAGATCGCAACGACTGGGTGGTATTATAGCTTTATTCCCACATTTATTGATATTTCTTTACCTTATTCTTCTTGAAAGGCTTCTTACTCTGGAAATTATGACCTAATAGATAGTACACTCACCAGTTGCATATTATTTTATGTGCTGTGAAATTGTTTGCGTTTTATATTAAGATAATAGCATCATCATGCATTCATGACTGTCCAATTGGTTTCCAGTTTTTGCTGTTTAAAGCGTTGTTATCATGTGTGTGGAGGTCTTTTACTTTTTAAATTCGATAGATAGCCTTTTTTAAGATACTTTTGTGGAGCTTTCTGATCATTCCAAATTCTAAGATATTGACATACATACCTTTCTTTGATCTTTTATTCCTGTACTCATCAATTTGAGTATATAGTTCGTTGTTTTGGTATTTAACTTTTATCTTATCAAAGATGAGCAGTTGAGATTTTAAAATAATGACTTTTCTCTGCTTTAGGTTACAGTGATGACGACCATTGGTTTCGTAAAGGAAGCTCCTTCTCTTAATGTTTCTGGATTTAATGTGTACCATAAAAATCGTCTAATCAAGGTATATTCTGGTTGTTTAAACTGCCTTACCTCATTTGGTACTCCTGCTGCCCTTCTGAGTCTTTCCTTTTCATATCTTTTCTTTTTCTCACAAGGCGTATTATTGATTTTGAAAAGTGAAATGTGGTGTTGGACATGTTGCATTCATTCAATTTTAATCATCAAATCAATTGATCTAATCAACAAATTTTGAAGTAGAACTTCGGAGTTTTTTTCAGTCAAAATATCTCAATCTACTTTCGTTATTACAGCCTTTTTGGAAAGTAACAGGAGATGGTTCATCGAAAGGGAATGGTGTTATTGGTATGTTCCTGTTCTTCTGAACTGTTGAGTTCCTTTGGCTTATACCCATTCCAAATTGGTTTTTTTATTGATTTCTCAGTACATTGTAGGAGCTCTCGAAGTTAATTTTATAGAACCAGCCCATGACAAGCAGGATTTTGAGGGATCACCTGTGTTTGTTAGGCTGGAATCCAGGCTGAAACAAATGACAATGGAATACTGGTTTGTTATGTTATGATTTATATTTTTCCTTAAATAGTTTTTTTCTTTTCCCAGTAACCATATTGCCAACCCACTGGAGCATAGCCTGGGTAGCGCTATGAAATACCTTGTTGACCTTATCCCCCCCCCGGGGGCGTGGGGGTCTCCCCAGGAGACAAAAGTCCCTGAGTTCATTTCCACCTGCCAACCATTTCTGTCTTCATAACTATTCATGCGTTGGCTACTTAGCTTTTTGGGGTGATGCACCTAAACAATGACTTAAATGGATGCTTTTGAGGCTGGTTTTCTCGAGTAGATTTTTTTCTCCTGTGCATTCAGGGAGAATTTTGACCCTTAGTAGTGAATATAATTCAATTATAGTCCTTCTGTTTCTTATTATAAGAAATGATTAATCAAATCACGTTGATCAAAAAGTTGGTTAAAATTTTCCAAAAACACCCTTATTTAAGATATAGGTGGGAGAGAGAATGAGTGGAAAAAGAGATGAGAGAGAATGAGAGGTGGAAAAAGATGAGAGAGACATGTAATTATTTGAGGGCAAATATGAAAAAAAAACACATTAAATGTTTAAACATCTGTAAAGTGTCTCTTATTAAAAATAAAAAAAAGCTCTTTCAAAAAAGTGTTTCTTATAAATAGGAACGGAGGGAGTACAAAAAGTGAAAATTGAGGTAATGGCAAAAAAACCACAAATGAGGAGTATTCACAAGCCAGGCAATATTGTTTGGCTTCCTCCAACTTTTTAGTGCATATTGATTGATATTGATATGTATATATTGATGTTCTTGGAGCTATTTCTACTTCAATTTACAAATCTGATTGGCTTTAATAGTGGTAGCAACTTAGCTCTAAGGCAAAGCCCCTTCGGAGGTGCTCAAATCATTAAAAGAGTGTAGTGGAACAAGTTGGCCGATGTATGTTTGCCATTTTAGATCCTTATCTGTAGACTTTAGGTCTGCCAGTATCTCTTCTATTATTATTCAATTTCAAGCATAAATGTAAATAAAAATTTACCTGTGTGAAACATATGGAACCAATGTGTAGTGGTGGAAGCATCGTTTTCTGGGATGATGCTGTATAATCTTTGCATAAAAGTTAGCTGCTACACGTGAGTGGCAGCAATTATGAATTATGAGTATTTATTTTTATATGAGAGTTGGTAAGCACTTCCTGCTATGCTCCATTGGTAATTGGATGACCTTCTCCTGTATATCAAGCTTCTCAATATTATGAGGTGTTGACATTGTTTTGGTGCAATTCTGGACTACACAGGAAAGGTCACTGTCACTTGGTTGGGTATCAGCCCCCAAATTTCAAGTCACATAATGCCACACACGGAAGCAAAGTTCAACATTCAACTGGACATTTAAGTAAATCTCAGGATAAGTTGCTTGCTGTTCAAAAAGATATTGATGTAGCAAAGCGTCAAGAGGATACTAGTTTAAATCAGTTCATCGTGGGTCTTCCAGCAAATGATGAGCAGTATTTACAGGAGCAGCATGTGAGTAGCTGAAGTTATGTACAAAATCTCTGTTTGATCTAGCCAAGTTACTTTTCTTTTCTATGTGTAATCAAATTTGTTTTTAAACTATGATCTCGGCTACTCTTCTTTTATCTTATAACCATAACTCAAGTAGATGCATAAGACCCAAAGGAGATGTAGATGATGGTTCAGAGTAGTCTAGGTCAGTTATGATGAGAACTCTTCTAACATATAACATCGACAAGTGTTAAAAGGAGGGAACTTTAGAAGCATGAATAAGGAGAATTAATTTTTTGGTCCCTATAGTTTTAACTCAATTATAACTCAATCTTTAAACTTCAACTCAATACAACTCAATCCTTAAATTTAAACCCTATTATAGATTGAGCTACATCAAGGCAAAGTTCAGGGATTTAGTTACAATCAAATTAAAACTATAAGGATTGAGTTATACCAAGTTAAAGTTTAGGGGTTGAGTTATAATCGAGCCAAACCAATGGGGACCAAAATATTAATTTAAGCTTTACTTATTTAAGGTTGCATTGGATGCCAGACCGCTCCAGGTGAATGCGTTGGGTTTTGATAAAAGTATTCAGTGGAACAGATAACTAATTAGACCATTCTTTAATTATTTTCATTTGCTCCTGTAGCTTTTTCTTTCCATGTAATTGATTGTATAAAAATTTAAATACATATGCCCTACCAGCTGAGATTATTCAAATCTGAAGATTAATACAATATTATGATTTTGGTTTCCCCCTTTTTTTTTGCATTTAATTCAGCCTGAGGTCTGGCTTACCAACAACTTCTGTAAGGGCACAGTGATGATCAGTAACAGCAACATACTTTTAAAGAAGCCAGAGTCCTGTTGTTTCTTTGATATTTATGTTCCAAAAGGCAAAGTGGAGTTCTATCCTCCTGTCCTGCGTTTTAAAAAAGCAATCCTTGCAGTCTCTTCCCCCCATGTATTTGCTACTTCCCCTTACCCTTTTCATTTCATTAACCAAGACTTAACTTGCTTGAAGATTTTATCCACAGTAAGTTACTTAATTTGATTCAGCTGTAACTGTCAGATTATACACCGTTTTTTTTTTTTTTTGGTCTGGGGTTATTCACGTCTGACATGGTCAACTAGGGCTTGAATGAGAGTGCAGTGTCTCCTTGGGGATTTTCTATCCTTCTTTTACATGGATGTCCTGTACATAGATCCGAGTGATGCATATGACTCTTTGTAGCTAAGTCCATTCAGTCAAGATGTAGAGAGCCACTGTCACTTCTTTAGAATCTTATAAATGGCAGCTTCTACGTAAACTGATCAGGAAGTACGATGGAAAAAACCATAATTTATAGTTACAACTTGTGCATTTACATGCAGGTTGTAAATTGTAATGACCACTTTGTGGTTGTCTTTACATGCGTCTTTTGTTCTGGTAATCTTGGTTATATCCCTCTCGGGGGATTGTTCTTCTTTTAACAAGGCCTTATAAAAGCTAGCTGTAATAGTTCTTTTAACAAGGCCCTATAAATGCTAGCTGTAATAATTTCCCTATTGATATTAATTCAGCAATTTTGGCCCCCTCCAACAAATGAAATTAAGTGCTTTCATTTTGTGTGCGCTATTATCCTCTAGAAAGCTGTTTATTAGCACTCTCTTTCTTGGAGCTGAAGGTATTGGTTTCTTCAACAGGTTGTAGGAACGCCACGGCCCCAGTCCGTTGAGCAGATCCGTGAAGAGAACCTAACTCTTTTCTGGAGGTAAATGTTGAATCAGAATATGCGGGCCAATCTTTGTGCTGTCATGATAAATTCTACTTCCGTCAGTTTTGGTATTCATTGGTCCACCTCACCAGTCGGGGTCCTTCCCTTACCCAGACACAGTGACAGCTGAATTGAGGTATACCTAGCATCTTATGTGCATATACCTATCATCTTATGTGCATATTTTGCTGTTCTCTTATCTGCAGGTGTGAGGAACACGCGCGTAAGGAGACTGAGCTGAAACAGATGGTAAGTGTAGTCTGATCAGACAGTTTGAAAACTTACAATGAATAAATCATTGCGTTTCACTTGTGCTTCTGTTGCTAACGTGAAAAAGGTCGAGAACTTGGAAAAGGAGTTGGAGGAAGTCCAAGGGAAGTGTGCCCAACTTTCTTCGGTCCTGGAGGCTAAGAGGAAGCAGAAGAAGAAAATGGAACTGAAGAAAATTTGACGAACTGTTTGAGCAATGATTGACTTTGATGGATGACTGAGGGTGTGTTTGGATTAGCGGTGGAGAAGTATCTTTTTTTTCAATCTGACTTTTACAGAAGTCAGATTGGATAAAAGCAACTTCTTTGAGTTTATTGTATAAGTCCGTTTCAGTGACAGAAGTCAAATTGCAAAAATATGATTCCAAACACATCCAAATAAAAAAGCTTCTTTTGCCGGTAGTAGAGAAGTCAGTTTGAAGGTTCAGATGTGATTCTAAACACACCCTGAGTTGCTGATAAATCTGGGCTGAAAGTCGCTTGTTTGATCTTCGAAGGTTCAGCTTTTTGATGATCTTTTTTATCGGGGGGGACTGGTCAGTGATCGAAATTTCTTTGGATTCCGTTTTTGTTTTGTGATGCCATTATGTTTCGCGCTTACTAGACTAACGCTAATGCGGCCAATTACCCCATTGCGCTTCACCAATACCAGAAATTGTGTAAACGGAGAGGAATATCTCTACTAATTTCTCTTTTCATTTTTCTCGTCATCTATTCTCTCCATCACTGGATCAATGTTCAAGGTTTGAATTTAATGTCTTTGAAAGCATTACTATAATATTAAATGACAATTACATGTAAATAAATTTAAACATTTCAAAATTTAATCTGAATTTCCATCATTAGGGAAATAAAATCTATCTTTAATTTCCAGTACCCTTTGTTGTGTTTGATTATCAAGTTTATGTCCGGAGTGCTCAGTTTTTTGAGGCAAATTTGTATTTTAATCCAAAAAACAAAATGTGAGGAAACTAATATTATTGGTAACACAGGAAGCGTGCGAGTTACGATAAAAAAAAAAAAAAGATCTTTTCGCCTTAATGAAATAACTAAGCGGAGGATATCTGTCTTTTCGCCGGGTCCTTGGGTCTTTCGAGGCGGTATTAAGAATTTTTTTTCCAGCACTACAAGATAAAGATTTTGTTGGCAGAAGAATAAAGAATTAGACATCGGTGACACCTTTTTTACCCAATAAAAATTGGTAATACCCTTTTAACCAAGTGTTAATATTCTTCTGATTTTATCTATAAGATATTTTCAATATTTTATATAGAAAAAAAACCTTAAACGTTAATAATTTTTATTTAAAATTTAATAATTTTTTATTGTTTATTTAATTAAATAGATTATTTTTTATGTAAATAAAAGAAACATAATAAATAAATAAGAGATAAAATTATATTTATATAAAAAATTTTACTCAATGTCAATAACAGGATTAAATTTTTTTTTTCTCTTTTTATATTTTATCAAATAGGACTAGAAGAGTACTTGACAGTAAATGATTTATTGGTCATCGGATGTCATCTACTCATTTTACGAGTAAAAACGCGGTTCCGTCAATAACCCGGCGGCTGACGCACTGGTCGCGAGTTCAGTGTTTCTTCAGGAGCTCAGTTTGGTCTCTGCATCGGGGGTGCTGTGTTGATCCGCGAAATGATTTGTGATCTATGAACTGAGGAAAACTAGTCAGTTGAGAAGATATGAGGAAGCGGGATTTGGCCATTCTTATGCTTTCAGCTTTCGCCATTTTCTTCTCTCTTCAGGTAATTTCTTTTTTTTATTCCGCCTCTTCACTTGCTCTTTCACTCTTGTTAGCAATACTCACTCTAGTATAGACCCTCATAACTCGAGCCCTGCCCTCGGAAAGATATAATCTGGTTCTTCTTCTTCTTCGTCCCCCTCCTTTTTTTTGGGGTTAATTTGTGCCCATATTTTGTTAATTTCATTGGAGCGGACTTTAACTTTGTGTTTCGTTTATCGTACTTCGCTTCCTCACTTGGCAGCACGAAGGTGGTATATCATTAAAGAAGCATGGATGCATCTATCTGATGAGTACCCTATAAATATGAAGCGGAACGCCTTCCACCGCCTGTGGTTGCCGATTTTAAACGGGGACGGAAAGAAGGAAGTTCTTGTGGCCACACATGACGCAAAAATTCAGGTAAATTGAGACTTGCTTCCTCAACTATCTTGTCCATTGTCACACTTATTGTTTTTCTGCTTGTATTGTTAGTATTCTCCTATCTACTACGTTTAGGCACATAATTGAAGATTTTTCTCTATAATTTTGTTACAAGTGGTATGATCAGCATCTGGGTTCCAACAATGTTAATGGTTGTCTCAGGTTTTGGAGCCCCATGGTAGGCGTATGGATGAAGGATTTAGTGAGGCACGTTTACTTGCTGAGGTTTCTTTATTGCCAGACAAAATTCGGGTTATGTCTGGGAGACGTCCAGTCGCTATGGCTACTGGTTATATTGATCGTTATAAAGTCGGGCAACCAAATAAACAAGTTTTGGTTGTAGTGACGTCTGGTTGGTCTGTTATGTGTTTTGATTCCAACCTCCAAAAGCTGTGGGAAAATAATTTACAGGTTAGTCATCGTACCGTATTCGTTTTTACCATTTCGGGGACAGTTTTACCTCAGTCTGTTTTAAATTACCCAATTTATGGCCCACTAGTTCTTCTACTTGTTGGCAGGAGGACTTTCCACATAATGCCCACCATAGGGAAGTTGCAATTTCTATTAGCAATTATACTTAAGCATGGAGATACAGGATTGATCATTATTGTGGAAGGATGGAAATGCAACCTCACGTATGAGGCTCTTTCTTTGTAATGGTTTTTAGTACTTGTTCTTTGTTTGCTAAAAATGTGTGCCCTTTTCTACTTTTTAATTGCATAATCTTTACTATCTAAGTGGATAATGTCTTTTATCCTCTTTCAAAACTAAATATTTAGTTATGAAGATGATCACAGCTATGTTGCCCTTTTACATTCTGTGAGGCCCTTTTTAGAAATTGAGATCAATGAAGTGTGATGCATATGTAGTTTTCCTGCTGATTGTTGAATTTCAGAGTTTTCTAGATCAGTTTGTTAGAGTTAGAGTTAGAGCAAAGAATGATATTTTATTTCTGCATTTCCACTTATGTATTTAGTGGTGTTGGTATTATCGTCCAATATGAACTTTTTGGTTTGGTAGTTTTTGTGACATTATAGTAATGCTGTCTTTGTTAGCGAATCTAATGGTTTAAATGTAGGTCGGTTTTGCTGCTTTATCATGTAACCTTTTTCCCACTTTCAGATTTTTGTGGATCCTTTTGAAGAAATGGCAATGGGAGCCAGAAATGCAGAGCAGCATCGGAGAAGAAGTGGCTGCTGAAAAGGGGTATTGGCATCCTGTTGCTTGTGGATGCTAAACTGCAGCTTTGTTTAATAATCTAGAATAATAGTGGTATTGATGTGTTTGCTTTTGTTTGGTGCAATTGTAGTGGTCTTAACGCTGACGTACCTTGGCTTATTCATGAAAATGAGTTAACTTTAGAATGTTATCCCCCATTCAAATGATAATAAAATTCTAACATATTGAAAGATAGGCGGTAATGTAAAACTGCAGCTTTGTTTAATAATCTAGAATAATTAGTGGTATTGATGTGTTTGCTTTTGTTTGGTGCAATGTAGTGGTCTAACGCTGACGTACCTTGGCTTTATTCATGAAATGAGTTAACTTTGAATGTTATCCCCCATTCAAATTGATAATAAAATTCTAACATATTGAAAGATAGGCGGTAATAGTTATTAAAGAAAAAAAACTAATTCTATTCTGTTATGTTTAGTAGATCTTATTTTATGCTTTTGAAGGAAAAAAAACTAACTCTATTCTGCTGTTAACCACATAGGGACTAAATCCTAAGCAAGAAGCCCTCAAAACCAAATTTTATTATCAGGTTCTAACGACATACATAGGAAAAGTAGTTGCTCATTTTTTGTAACTGGTGAACAAGAAAGGCACAAAGTGAATATGGTAAGGAAGGAAGATCTGTACGCTTGAATTTTATTCAAATAGAAAACAGAAGCTTCTAGTTTATCTATTATAGGCCACGATCCTTACAGTATATGATGGTTTTGATGAATTTCAGTAATATCTCTGTCCATATTCTTTTTTTTTTTTTGGCCTTTTGATTTCAATCAAGTTTATGTCTTTTTGAATTGTGGGTATTTTGTTTGCAATCTCTTGGTCTTTTTTCTTGTTCTTTCTTTCTTTCAACAGATTGTCTTTCTATTCAAAGAAACATGTCAGTTCGATTCTACTTTTCTATGTATAGCTCTAAAACTCTGATTATTTATTGTGTTGTATTGTCTTGGTAGGCTTCAGAAAACTCTGGAAATGTGGATTTACGGCATTTTGCATTCTATGCATTTGCTGGGCGATCTGGAGCTGAAAGATGGACCAGGAAAATGAGGTCTGTCAAACCCACCCCCCCCAAAAAAAAAAAAAAGACTTAAGTGATATAAAGCTCACAATCTGAGCTCGAGGATAAGAACTCCAAGAACAAATTCATGGGGAAGACAAGCAGAAAAGCATTAATTCAAAAGAGCTGAAATGATCCCTATGCCCAAGAACAAATTCATGGGGAGAAACAAGCAGAAAAGCATTAATTCAAAAGAGCTGAAATGATCCCTATGCAATCTAAAAAGGAAAATCCCTTAAAAATTTAGGACTGAAACCCATGAAGTAGCCAAATAAAAGAACTGTCCAAAAGATGGTGCAGAGGAAGACACCTCAGTTTAAAATCACTCACGTTTTTTCTGCTCATATATGCTCTTGGCTATCAAAATCAGTTCATTGTCAAAGCATTTTATGTTATCAAAACCTAAACAAAATTGCTAAAAGTGACCTAAATAGTCTGCTCAAAACTACTGCTCATTAGCAAGCCAAAAAGACCTCTCCAAAGCTACCACAAAACTTTACGGGCAGAAATAAAAGAGTGATTGTTTCCTAGCTCAGAAGATTCATAACATCTGGAGAACTGCATTATAAGGCATAGAAGTCTGAAGCAGGTAACTTGTATTAATATATTCACCTGCATTCAAACAAAGGTCCTTAACCTTGGAGGGAACGTTGAACCCTCAAAAAGCGTCAGATATAGAGAATTGTGAACATTTGGATGTGATCCTAGGATTTAAATATGTATATGGATACAAATAGATAGAATTCAAAGATCAAATCATTCTGTCCAGCGAGTTGAAACACACTGAACTAAGGAAATCCAATGACAAAAAAAGGTGTATCTTTTGCAAAACACATAATGGTTTATAAGGAGGAAGTGGACTCGTTATCATAATTTTGCTGTCAAAAATGGCTGATGCAGCTATCTAGGTGCTGAGGAAGCATCTCAAATGGCCTATGTGATGCAGCTGGGGAAGTCATATCTCTGATGTAGTTGCATCCTTTATTTCATGAGGATGACATATTTTTCTGTAGCTGCAAACATTTTTTCTGCTGTAACCCCCCCCCCCAAAAAAAAAAGCAGGTTACAGAAATATATAGATATTTAATAGTTGTTTTTTGGCAGCTTAATATCCTTTTGTTATCATGAAATATGTTGGAAATTACCACCTCTTGCTCAACACTGACTGGAGTTGATTTTTGTTTGACGCCTATTTGCTTAACTAATAATAATAATAATTGGCATTTTTATCCATATCTAATTACTAGTAGTGTCTCTTGCTGTCTAGAACATTGAAGCACTAACTTCAGATGAATCACGGCTACTTCCACACATAATTTCAAAGCTTGATGTTCATGCTCTGAATAGTCGTCATCCTGGAGAGGTATAGACCCTCTAAGCTGTTCATTCAAATCTTGAAATGCGTATGAAAAGTGCTGCAGTGTTTATTATCTGTGTTTTAAATACGCTGGACATTTTCATATGTTCATTTAAACTTCCCATGATCAACCGTTAACCCCTAACGCTTGTGTGTGTGTGTGTGTGTGTGAGCAGAAGACTCCATGTGATTGTGGTTAAGTTTGGGTAAATTATATACTTCTCAAGAGATTTGTTTAAATTATACAAACCTGCCGTCAAACAAAAAGTTGTTGTTACACTTCAATCCATTTTTAATATTTTTCACTAAAATATTTTCAAAAAATTGAAATTGGACTAAAGTTTAGTGCAGCAGCATTTTGTTCCACAGCCCCCCCCCCAAAAAAAAAGAGAGTTACTGCAAAATCAATCGTGTTGCCTGTGTCTTATATTTAATAATTATGAAGTGCATCTCACTAAAAGATAGCTTCCCGTGACATTTGAAAATCTAGTTTGAATGTAGAGAGTTCAGAGAATCAATCCTGGGAGTCATGCCACATCATTGGGTACGATATGCTTTTCAACTTTATCACCCTTGTGTACTAAATCTTGAATTTAAATTTCCGAATAGAATTTACATTGCGTTATGCTTCAGGATAGGAGAGAGGACACTTTGTTGAAGCTGGCACATTTCAAGCGGCACAAGAGGAAAGCATTGAAGAGAATACCTGGAAAGACTATGAATTACCCCTTTCACAAGCCTGAGGAAAACCATCCTCCAGGGAAGGACTCATCAAAAAAAATTTCTAACATAATTGGGAAAGCTGTAAATTATGCTGGTTCTGCAAAACCTAAGAAGGTGAAATATACAAACCATGTCATTTCATCTGATATTTGCTTAGAGATACATGTTATTTAGGGATTGTTTGGTATGCAGAATGGAACGGAATGGAAAAAAGTGATATTTTGGATGTAAAATGCTTTTATGCCACTGAATAAGATAATGAGAGATATTTATTGTTAAATAATGATGACAAGGTTGTAGGTAATGTACTTCACTAATCAATATGGACTTTACAATTGCATTACCATGCATATCTTTGGTTTAGATTTTATTTTGAGGGGGGGAAAAACACACTGTATCGGAACAACATTATTTTGGCGGTATGGAAGGTTGCATTGTAGCTGAGAATTCCTTTTCCTGGTCTTCAAAATCTTTCCTTGTTGTCTGCAGTATTTGAGCATGGTTGGTTCACATTGTTTTGGCTAAATTTCATTTAACTGCATTGCTTTACATCTGCAACCACGTAACGATGAATTTTTTTTGTGCCAGCTTCATCTTCAGGAAGGTGGTCTTCATGCTGATATTAATGGTGATGGGTTCTAGATCATGTGCAGGTGCGCCCCACCAACCCAACCCCCCCCCCCAAAGAAAAAAAGAAAAAGAAGAATCCCTCTTTATTTATCCCCCCCCCCCCCCCCCGCTTAGAATCAAACAAGCTAGATCATTGTACTAAGCGTAAGCATTATAGAATACGGAGATTCTTCCATCATTCCATGCAATATCTAGATTTCAAGTTTTCTTTCAGGCTGTTGGAGGTAATGGTGCTGAACAGACTGTAGTCAGTGGGTCAATGGAAGTGCTACGCCCTTGCTGGGCTGTTGCAACATCTGGTGTACCAGTTCGGGAACAACTCTTCAATGTATCTATTTGTCATTTTACCCATTTTAACTTGTTCCAACACGGAGAATTTTCTAGAAGCTTTGGTCGAGCCTCAGATGTATCCTCTTTAGAGGTAGCAACACCTATACTTATTCCAAGAAGTGATGGTCACAAGCACAGGAAAGGAAGCCATGGTGATGTTATCTTCTTGACTAATCGAGGAGAGGTACGCTATTGTCCAATTCCTTGGTGCATCTGTACTGATGCATGATAATATAGATCTAATGGAAGAATAATCCTGATGATACTTTGTTCCTTGCAGATTACGTCATACTCTCCTGGCTTGCATGGCCATGACGCTATTTGGCAATGGCAGCTCTCAACTGGTGTTACTTGGTCAAATCTGCCTTCTCCATCGGGGATGATGGAAGGTGGTCAGGTGGTTCCTACCTTCAAGCCCCTCTCCTTGCGAGTGCATGATAATCAGGAAGTTATCCTTGCCGCTGGAGAACAGGAAGCTGTGGTAATATCTCCAGGAGGTAGTCTGTTGGCTATCATTGAACTTCCTGGTTCACCTACACATGCCCTGATCTGTGAGGACTTCTCAAACGACGGGCTCACTGATCTTATTCTTGTAACCTCTAGTGGGGTTTATGGTTTTGTTCAGACCAGGCATCCCGGAGCCCTTTCTTCAGCACTCTGGTCGGTTGCCTCATGTTGTGATGGGAGTTATATTTGTGACCCAGCATTTGAATTCCGCGAAGGGGAAACCTCGTTCCTCATCTGGTCCTCGGTGAAAAAAATAAGGTTTAAATTTTTACGCTAGCTGGAATTGTTTATGGAGCTATCAAAGAACACCGAAAATCTTTGGATGAAATGTGGTATTAGCGGAGAATCAAAGAGTTTCAAGTGCGCATATTCGATGAGATTTCAAGGATGTAGCTCAAGTGTTTCACTGTTTGACTGTAAGATTTCTATGGAGGATGGCTGTGATGTACGAAATTTTGAGTTCATATTTTATGATAAGAAAATACTACTAGTGCCCTTGGGTGACCGGGCGCATCTGCCTGACGTGTTTTAAGGCGGCGAGAGCATGGCTATTACTGATCTCCATTTACGGTCTGGTATTGTATGCAGGCCCAATGGTTTATTAGGCTTTCCTGAGATCCTGAAGCAAGTCATAATAAATGGTTAGATAATAGTATTAATACTCCTTCGTTTTCTCAAGATACACAGGTGCATCGTCAAATCTAGTTCTATTTCAGGCCCAAAAGAAATCACGTCGCATTCAGAATTAGTGGGTGGGCCGCAGTAAATCAAGTGTCGGTTGGACCCAAAAACCAAATCACATGTCGGTGAATTTCATTGTGTTAGGTGACGTGCATTTTTCAGCTGTCTTATTTTATTTTATCTTTTCAAATGTTCCTGGGCAATCGAACTGTGATACGGCAAGAAAGTAGAAAGTCGTGGTAGAATATAAGTTACGACAACACGAGATGAACGTGACATATGATTTCTGAAGGCTCACTTGGGGTCGTTATATTCTTGTATGTGAAGATAGGGTTTTGTTTTAAATGTGTCGCGAATATGATCGAAGCCGCAAAGACGGTTGTGCTGGTTTATGGCACAAACTGTGGTTGGCCTTTGCCTTTTTATTAGTTTTTTATTAACCCAAAAAAAAAGTCGGCTTGCTTGATTACATCAAAAGAGAAAAGGATAAGCCATAGAAGTCAGCTGAGGAAGATGTAAAATCTGAAGGTCGTTATCAAGTTGATTTCTCGGCAATAGGCGTGCGCAACCGAACTGAGTCGAGTCACATGTCCCCATCGGCATTGGTTCCGTCTAAAAAAGTTGTAATCAGTACTCTGTAAAGGGATTTGTTAGGAAGCAATGCATCATCTTGCAGAGGGCAGCACGAGAGAGAGCGACTTGGACCTGACAATGCATGGCGGGATCTACAGAATGATAGGGATCGCCCATCCGTGTCTGTGTCCCACACTTGTCCTTTTCCCTTTTCCAATTTGCATTCCAATTCACATAACAATCACCAAATTGGAATTTAATTTCTCCATTTCTTTGGGCCACGTTTTTGTCTTTCATGCTCTCGCAGGTCATAACATCTAGTCGAGCAAACGCAGACAAGTACGTCGTGAATCGTCATGGATTTCCGGGGGTAGAAAATTAGGGTAAAGAGCAGAACCAGAAGACAATGATCAAGACAATCACGCAATCGTACAAGTTTGTTCAGTGATACGTGCACGTCTTGACGCCTCATACTCAACCTCGCTCTCTCTTCGTCTCCTCAATGAGTTTACCCACAGTCCCACGCCCACTCATAGTTGAAATGTTGGAAGGGCCATCCATCTCTAGCCGGCAAAGCAAAGGGCTTGGCGGGACCACTACCATTATGCACCCACATCACTGAGATACGCTACCATTTTGGTCCATTCAAGCTCTTCTTCGCTCTTTCTATTTTGACCCCTTCCTCAATTCGAAATCGCTAACCCTAATCTTCATTATCCTCCTCCTGTAATTACCCTCCCCCTTGCCTCCTTTCCGTATCAGTTTTCTTGATTGCATTATAATTTGGACACCCTAACCACGTCGTCAATTAATGGTTTCTGCTGCTTCCACGCCTTGATTTCACGTCTCATTCTTCGATTAAACAAATCGTACCCAGAGAAACAGTCGTTAGTGAGCAGGCAAGGACAGAAAGACGAGCAACGACGTGAAGGTATGTGCACTCCCTCGATTTCAACAGTTGGACGATGACGTAGATTGATTGAGGAAGCATTTTTTTGTTTTAAGAAAACAACCAAGGCAGGTTTCCGTGAGACGGTTTGGGCCGTTTGAGAAATAGTTGAATGAGATAGGGTTACAACAAAAGATGATTAATCAAGGGGTACGCTGAGCAGCACGAGAGTGGAAACAGGAATATGGGAAGTGCAGGAGCACTGAATTAACTAATCCGAGCTAGTTTTGGTTGCTTTATCCGTAGAAGCTGTACAAGTCCAGAATAATTTTCTACTTTTCTGGAAGAATCCAAGAAAGGTGAAAATTTTTTGAAGAGGGAAGAACATGGAGATCGTCAGCATTATCAGCGTCTCTGGTAAAGTACTCCCAATAATTTCACCATCGGGAAAACAGCAAATCCTCAACTGGATTCTTATTCACTTGAGCTTCCCTCTGATTGAATTTGAAGGCTCTATTTTTCCTGAGAAAGTTAATATAGAATCATACCACATGCATGCAAGTTCAGGCTTTTTACGTCTTTGTTTGTTTATTTTCTGCCTTAGCATTTTCATGGAAATTGAAGCAAAACTCGGCGTCTTTATTAAACATGGAACAAGGGAAGCATGCTTTTGCAACTGACAAAACCCAGAAAAATGGAGTAATCGTGTGTTCTTTTTTTTTTCCTGGGGAAATAATCATATGAAGATGAGTAAAAACGTACTTCCTCTTGTCCTAATCATAATACCTCTTTTATAATATATAAACTAGGTTTTATAATTAGAACTAGAGGTATTATTTATTTTCGGTGATTATGATTTCATTGAGCAGAATAATATATTTTGCGTCAAACCAGGAAGAAACAGCCGAGTATTAAGTTACCTAAGACTGCAGGCATTGGTTACACAGCCCGGAACAAGACGGGACCATGAAGTTGCAGAAACCAAGCGTTTGAAGAATTACAGTACAATTGCGAGACAGGCGCATGCAGCTAATGACAAGAGAGGTTCTCTTTTCTGTGAGTTCATTTTTTAAACTCTCATAAAGCAACATTTACGTATGTACACACACACACAAACACAAACCTCCCAATTTGTTAAAAGAAGCTCAGAAGGCAAAGGTGGCCCATATATGCGTGATTATAAACAATTGCGTAAAGCGCTGCATGCAACTGATAAGTTCACCATGAAAAAAACGTCGTAGATATATGAAGCCAGCCAATAATTAAGTAACAACCTTTAATTCCATTGTTGCTTTATCAAGCTTATTAACTAAATAGGAGCCGTTCAATGATATGGCAGGCAGCACATATAATGTCTCGGGATTAGAATCTTGGAAGACCATATTACAGACAAGAGAAAATGTTCCCGCTGCCATATCGTATCTCTGTATATTTAGAACATTACTTTTTTTTCCCTGTCTGACCCAATCTATACAAGTTCCCACACTATCATCTGAATAATCGATGTCAGAGAAATGCACAAAACCATTTACTTTGAAAAAAACATCCACGCATCATAATTTGTGAAGATTCTTTTGTTCGTCGAAGACAACATTCAATATAATAAACACAAGGGACAAACACTCTACTACACACACACACACATTCAGGTAACCCTTCATAACGCCTCTACAGGTTCTGATGGCCTTGTCATACGGGTGAATGACGTTTACCTACGTACGAATCTGAATCATGTTCACTCACATATACACCGAATTTACAACCTCCTATCGTTAGGGGATATACCATCAGTGGTAATTAACTCAACGCAACTCAGATAGTATAAAGAAGAGATGAAACCATAAAGTGGAGTGGCGAAATCCCCATGGTAAGCCTCGTTAATTAACTACCAATACTCAGCAGACCCCAAGATAGGAAGATTATTAAAAGCAAAAAGACTAAAACAAAAAAAAAAAGGAGTCAACTATGGTTTCCAAAAAACCGTCTTGCGTTTTTCTATATTATGCATGTGGCTTTTGCAGACGTAGATATCACAGTCATAATGTTCGAGCTACTCTTTTGGATATTACATTTGTTATATGTTTTTTGCCGTGTTTTGTTTAAAATGATTTTTTTTTTATGTTTATAACAAACAAGATATAAATTACGGAGAAATAAAGACACAATGTAGGGGTCTACACTTCTACCAAGACAAAGGTAACCTGCCTTCCCACGTTAGTCTTCAATACATTTTTCTTTTTCTTTTTTCACTTCCACTTCAAGTTCGGTGTTAATATACCTAGATAAGAATAATTACTCTATGAAAAAGTAAAGTTAATATATTATCAGAATGAGCAATTAGATGAAGCCAGATATCCCAACATTCATGAATAGAAGGTAGGGAAATAAATAGCAGCAATGCTTGCTCCCCGCCCCCTCAACCCCAAAAAGAATTTTTTTATTAAAAAAAAAAAAGCAATGCTTCTCCTTAGAACATATATATTCGGAAAAGACCAGGTTCTGACCCAATGAAAATGCGTGATGCTTGGTATTTTTGAACACATTGTCCCTGATTTAATTTCATACTTGGGGGTCTTGGTCAAAAAAAAAAATCATACTTGGGGGGGGGGGGGACGCCTCACATCATAACCCAAGCCACAAAACGCGTTGCTAATACAGACTTAAATATATATATATATATATATAGTTCACAACGCAACATTAGTTATTCACACGGCTCTTGACTTTGGAGATGTTTACAAATTTGTACGTACCATAGAATGTAAAGGGGATGACGACAAATCTGTGTCTGCGGCTGTGTGTTAGCAGTGATATCATCACTGAAGATTAGGTATATAGAGTAGTGGGTCTCCATTCATGAGGTTGTGAGAGGACGTTGCATGGGTGCTGAAATTTCTGACATTTCAGCCCTTTATTTTCTTTTACTTCTTATGGTCTTTTATTTTCCCCCAATAATCAGAGCACAATCCAGTATTATGTCTGTGATATGCAAAATAAATAACGTATACATTGCTGCATGAGCACTAAATATGAGGATTACTCCTGTTTTAAAATCAAAGTAGCATTATATAAATTTAACACTAGGATATGTTAAGATTACGGCCATCACATTTTATTTGAACAGATTGGAAAGAGAGATCCATCGGCCATATGTTTGGACCGCTCATAGCCTTGGTGTGGTTAATCAGTCCAAACCGTGTCTGGAATTGAATTTCAAACCGGCAAAACATACGGGTAAACAGGGAAAAGGCATCTTCGAAGTTCAAAACCAACAAGAAAGCATCATTATTAATATTAAACATGAAGGAGATCACCAAGAAATAAGTGAAATATGAAATACAAAATTAAAGAAGCGTTGTACTACCATGTTAGAATTTAGAGGTCCACTACGTCGTATTCATACAGATGGCTCTCGAGAAGGAGAAGAGGAACTTCATTTTAAAATGACTAGGCATTGAAATTTGCATAAAATCAAATATGGAGCAACGATCGTCTGCATTTTCTCTTTCTTTCTTT